AATTGGCTGAGAATAAATTAAATAAATGTATTATAATAAATTAATACATTATGTTTTGTTATATTATTATCAGAGTAGAATTTTAGCACTTTGAATATTTTAATGTAAAAATAACCTACTCTATAATCAAATCAAATTACCATTCTATTACATATAATTATCTATCTATTACATATAAACTATTTATTTATATTATTTATTATTATAGTGAATAATATATTGTTCCATTGTAGACTACATTGCTTTGCTCTCAAAAGCTTCATCCAATATAAAATAATACAGTTAAACCCAGTTCAGGCTAACTACGTATGTTAGGACGTTTGTTTGCGGCACGAGGACAGGTGCGATTGGAACGTCGGTTGCGTCTGCCTAGAGAAGAAGAGTATTCAAGGTGCTTGACCGAACCCACGAGCAACCAACTCAAGTTTACGAAGACGCGATTGGGACGAAGCAAACAGATTTAATAATAATAATTATAAAAAAAATCTAGAAGTAAAAATATTGGATCATTAACATTAATGAAAAATCATCGTTTTTGGATGCTATCGCATTTTTTTTTTTCTTTCATAAAACGTTAACAAAGACTACTTCTCAAAATATTAATTACCTCTCATTTTACATACTCGTACGCATCATTACTCAGTTTTGTACACTTTCTGAATTATTAGTATAAAAATATATGTGGGTTTTAGTTAACTTCAAAATATTAAACTCTGCATTAAAATTTCAAATACTAATTATTGTAACTTTTGATAATAAATCGAGCACAGACTTCATACTAATTTATTATCAAATAAAATATCTAAGTTATATTTCTCAGGACAAAAGTGTCTGAAGTAAAGAGAGAGCCTTTGCGGATGCGAGTAAAGACTACAAGAACAGAACGGAACAAAACAGTAGAACCGGTACGAGTGCGCCAGTTGATGGTCCGCGAGCATAGAATGCCAGACAAGATTAGAGAGATATCAGTCGACCATAATATTCAATTTTTAAATTATATAAATTAATAGTTCAGCTTACAACAATACTTGCTCAATAAAATAATCCGTTTTATTAGTATTTTCATTGTGTATATTAGAAAAGCAATAGGTATCAGTTCTAGTATTAAAACACTAGACTTCTCTCCAAGGAGATAATTCTAAATTATTATTTTTTCTCTTCATGTAACAGTAGCTTAAGAGCCGTCCATTAATCACGTGATCCAACTTTAAAAATTTTTAGAAACCCTCCCTCGCCCTTGGTAATACAAGCGATATTTAAAATTGACCCCCTCTGCTAGCCAACATCACGTGCATCAAGAAAAAACGTTATTTTTTTAAATTTTTTCTTAAAAATTTTTGGATATGTTGAAATCTAAATAAATACACTTGATATCTTACTAGACTCTTCACCTCCCCCTCGTGATATTTCGTGATTTTGTGTCAAATTGATATTTAAAATTGACGCCCTCTGCCAGCCAACATCACGTGCATCAAGAAAAAACGTTAAATTTCAGATTTTTCTTGAAAAATTTTGGATTTGTTGAAATCTAAATAAATACACTTGATATCTTACTAGACCCCTTCCCTTCCCCCTCATGATATTTCGTGACTTTGTGTCAAATACATCCTTCTTTGTAAGCCTCACGTGATTAATAGACGTCCTCTTGTAAGATTTTATTATATCTTGATTGATATTCAAGAAAATAAAAAAAATATGATATTAAAATCTTTTGAGAAAAGCAGTGGAAGTGGAAATGCGTGTGAGTAAACCAAATACCAGCAACATATATTCCAGAATTTATGAAATACATTTATTTCATTATTATTATTGTATTTTACAGAATGCAATACTGCAATAAATTATTTTTAATAGACATTTTTAAATGTATGAAGATATGTTAGCTGTATAAGGTGCCGTTCAAGTATTACGTAAGCACTATAGGGAGGCGGGGGGTTGTTGATTTGCTTATTGTGGGTTGACATGGAGGGCAGGGGTGTCTGGATGATGATTACGTCATAGGTAGTATTTTTATTTTTTTACGTTAATTGCAAAATGTTTACGTAAGCATGGGGGTAGGGGGTAAGAGCTTGGCTTACTTTTGCTGACAAGGGGGATAGGGGGGTAAATAATTGTAATAAATCTGCTTACGTAATACTTGAACGATCCCTAATTAGACACTATCAAAAATATGGCACACGTTTAGAAACCCTTATGTGATACTTCCACAAATATCTTGTATCTGTGAATAATTTTTCCCTCAGCTATCCTCTTAACACGGTACCGTATGGGCGAGAGACCGGACGCGAGCAAGCACATTACCTGTGACGGTCGTACGCGCGACCTGTACACAATGCGCGTCGTTGACCGAGCCATATGTCAAAGCGGCTACTGAAATCACTTCGCAGTAATCAACAGTGTACAAATAAAAGATTCAAAAATAGAGCAATCGTGGGATTGAGCATCTTGTGAAGAAAGAGTATTTTTATCGCTTGATAAGAGTCACTTAATAAAATACTTCACTCTTGCAAAGGCAAGAATTTGTCAATAGTAATATTATATAAAAAATATATTATAAATTATTATTATTATTATTAACCCGCAATTCCTATTGTAAAAATATAATGTATCCATAAAGTTCAGAAATAAAATTTAAAAAAATAAAAATATTTATTTAACGGTAATATAATTATAATATAACGCTGTAAAAGAAACCAAATATTGCTACAAGCTGCTCTAGATTTTCGCAAACAAGAGAAAGCTATGAAACACATTCCATCTTATATCAAACGAACTTTATTTGATCTGTTTGTAGCAATCGCAATATAACGCGCGCTTGAAAAGAATGCAAGAAGCAAGGTTGCTTTCGAGTTTCTAACAATTAAAACTCAGTGTTTCTTATAAATGGATATATTATAAAAACTCAATTTTTTTATAGTATTAAACTATATTCAGTCTTTATCATTTGCTTCACAGCTCCACCTGAATAGGAAATTAAATTGGAAACAACATATAATTAATAAAAAACAGCAATTAGATCAAACTTTTAAAAAATTCTACTGGCTACTAAACAAAAATTCTGAACTCTCAGTTTACAATAAACTGTTAATATACAAGGTGGTACTCAAGCCCATATGGACCTACGGTCTCCAACTTTGGGGTACAGCAAAAAAAAAGCAACCTGAACATCATCCAACGTGCTCAAAACAAAATCCTGAGGCAAATATTAAACGCTCCTCGCTACACCCCTGCATGGATAATCCATCAAGACACAGGCTTGCTCACAATAGAGGAACAAATTTTAGTGGTTGCTTCTAAATATAAAAATAGGATTGACGTACATCTCAACGAATTGGCCAGCAGAGTTTGCCTGGATAGTCAGCCCACCAGATTGAAAAGAAAGTTGCCACAAGATCTTATCTAGTCTAGTTAAACCTAATTACTATTTCTTTTATGTTTTATTTGATTGTTTGTTTTTTCATATCGTTTTGTTTTTTGTATTTCTTTTCTTTTTTATTTTATTATTATTATTATTTCTTATTATTAAACATGTGTTATATACGTATACCTAGTAGACACGCCGCTGGGTGTTGCTACTATCTTCTTGTTTATATTATATGATAATTATTGTTAGCAATCTCTGCTTAATGTTAATGAATATGTAAAACAGATTGCAGAAGAAATTGAATAAAAAAAATCATTTGCTTCACAGTTAGATTTTTTACATTTTTAAAGAGCAATCAAATAATCATGGACTTTATACGATCCCTTGCATATAAAAGATGTCAACTAGTAGTTATTGCAAAAGATGACGTTTGTACTTTGATGGATGTTGCTTGCAAGTAATCTTTATTATATTTTTCAAGTTCATAGTGAGATATATTAGATTTTATTAATACAGCTGTACCCCCGTGAGCTGTGCCATCTGGATGATTAGTATGATATACACGATAATTAGGAATGAATAAGTTTGAATAATTAGTGAAATGAGTTTCACTTACCAGAAAAACATCTATTTTGTTTTCATTGAGGTATAATACTATTTCGTGTTTATGCTGCATAAGCCCGTTGGAGTTCCATAGTCCTACTCGTAAAAATTTAACCATACAGCTATTTAGTTTTGTTGATATTGATGAGGGTAGATAACATATTAATAATCATAGTATTATGTTGCATAAGTTGTTGAAACATATTTTTAAATTCAGTGAAGAATTGAGAAAATTCACTATTTTGTATATTTGAGTTTTCGCTTCCATTGGATTTGATGGCTTGAGAGTATGACATGTGCTCCGTGTTTGTTAGTCTACCAAATCGTTGAGGTAAAAAACTCGCTCACGTGATTAGAATCGCTGAACTATACTGGCTACTGGGACGCAAGTCAATTTTATCCATTGACAATAAACTTCTAATTTACAAGGCAATAATAAAACCCATATGGACTTATGGCATTGAATTGTGGAGCTGTGCAAGCAAATCCAATATAGCGTTAATGCAACGTGCCCAATCGAAAATATTGAGGCAGATTACTGATGCTCCGTGGTTTGTTAGTAACAAAACTTTACACGACGATCTTCATATTGATTTTATAAACAAAATAATACAAATCAACAGTATAAAACACTTTCAAAAACTACAAAATCATTCAAACAATATAGTCACTCAGCTTCTTGAGACATCAACTTCAAGAAGACTGAAGAAGAAGCTGCCCGAAGATAATATGGAGGAACCATAGAACTACCACAACCTTATATAAACAGAATAATTGAATCATTTATTGAAATGATTCTCTGAATATGATTGTAATATTGATCCGATAAATTTATATGTGTGTTTGCAAGTGTGTGTGTATGTGTGTGAGTGAATGACATAAGCCAAATAGCTCATAGAATAGTTATGTATTCTGATTGCTATTGAAAATAAAAATTAAAAAAAAATTTAAAAAAAACTAGTAGTTGACATTTATCCATTTATCATATTATTTCTTATCTTACAAAACAATTTTTAATTTTTTTTCTACTTACCAGCTGCCATTAGTTCGGGCGCCAGAATGCCGCTAAGATTCGGCTCCTCACCGTACCAGAAGATCCAAAGCTCCTTAGCAGCGCAGAGCGACAACGGCGGGTGAGTGACGGGTGCATTACCGATTGGTCCAAGACCTGGGCCAACCATGTCGAACAAACCACCGCCATTCGCGGAAGAATTGGGGTCTGCCGTGTTGCCTGAAAGCGGAGCGCCTGGTGCTGGCGATGCAACGCGACGCCATACGCACAAAATATCCCCGGCGAGGCAGCGCGAGAACGAGGACAGCACCGGGTCCTCGAGAGGCTCCGGTGCGTAATGCGACTCGCCCAGGGCCACACGGCGCCATTTGATACCGCACAGGTCGGTCTGAAAAGATGAATGAAATAAATTAATATCTCAATTTAAAAGATAAATATTATGAAAAACACTTTCTAACTACCACATGGGCTCATGGGCTCATGGGCATCTCTAGAAAAGCATTGATCTCTGATAATATTAGCTACTAAACCTGCTTTGCCAAAACTACTCCTACATGATAGATTTATTCTATTTTAATTATCATGCAAAATGTAATATTATCAAAAATAAATTTTAAATTGTGGATAATAATGTATTAATATTGCATTTTTGACGCCCCAATGTAAGAAGTTTTAAGTGCTGCTTCTATAGATTAGTGATTCCAGAGTGGACCATGTGGACCCCCAGAGGTCCTGAGAAGTTTGAAGGGTTCAACGTCAATAAAAACGAATTAAGAGTATCCACAAACACACCTTGTTAATATCTATTTTCTATCATTATTTTAAAGTCAATTGATAAATATTTAAGCTGGTATTTGTATTTTTACAATACAATAATTGTTTAATACTAAACGTTAGTGCATAGAGAAATTTATAAAAAAATTGCAAACCCGACGAACTCCGTTTCGCCACCAGATGGTTTCGTGAGAAAGGAAAAGAAATTTTTTGTTTGTTTTATATTAGAACAGAAAAAATTTGATTTTATTACACAACAGTAATGAATTTATTTCGATTACAAAAATGAAGTGTTTTTTAGTTGAACTTCTCTAAGTAAATGAAAGTGAATCCGCAAATTATTCGTTTCATTGAAGTGCTCTTTGTTAAACCACATTTTTTGTCTTTTGGTCTGACTTTAACACAAACAAAGCGTATGGTTTCCCAACTCGTGAACAGGCAACGTATAACTGCCCAAGTGAAAAACATTGATTTTCTAAATAATCTATTTGAAATTTATCCTGCAAACACTAAGCCTTGCGACTTGTTATTGCGAACGCAATGCGAACTGGAAATTGCAATCGTTTGAAATCAAACGGAAGAGTCGGAATCATTGGTATGTCACCAAATCGCCTGCAGTTTTTGATTAAATGGTGAAAATTCAGTGCGTGTACATCATTATTCTTTGCGGCAAGAACTGCTCGTTGACTTAACCAAGTATAATTCTGATAATTCTCACTAATGTCATTACTCGAATTTTCGAAGGCACAATGCCATGCACCACTAATTTTCTTAGCTATAAACCTTGCGGAGCCCGAGCCCGAGATTGTCGAAATCGGTTCGTGCATTCTGGAGTTATATCGTCAGGAAGGAAAACCTGACTTATTTTTATATATATGTAGATATTGATATCGGCTAAATAGGGGGTTCATCTGAAGGGATCCATGCCACAAACATGTTGATAAGCCTATGCTCTAGTAGATGGTAATTAATATAATGTAACAATAGGTAAAATATTTATTGAACTCATACAATTTTAGCAATATAAAATATGAGAATAGATATTGTGACTAATATGATTATTTAAGCATCCAGATCATTACGTCAGTGATAGCTTAGTTAATCACGAAAGCCATGCACATAATATACGCCAGAATAATTCATAGTTCATTTGCGTAGAAGCGTCGACGGTCACTTGAGTGACATTAGCGAAACGCCTGTTGTTAGAGCTATAGGGCGAAAAAGGATATATAGTACAGTGGGTGAACTAGGGGACAGTTTATCGATTTGGAAGCACACGAGCACGTTAGCATCAGGGTTACGTAATGTTTATACGCTGCTTCCGCGGTAATCATCGTATCGCGCCACGCCACGCTGTTCCGCTGCGAATCGGCATACGGGAGACACCGTTAAACGATTATCACACCTAACAAAACATTTTATTGATAACTTTTAAATGGGCAACGATTTCACCTCATTCAGAATCAAATCAAGCCTTTAGAATATTAACTATAATAAACAAAAGTCTGGCGCTAAGAAATTCTACATGAGCCAAGCCATGTCAGACATACTCTATTTGATAGAAGGAGTAAATAAGTTTATTATAGGGCCATGTATGTCATATATGTGTGACATAAAGAATAGTAATATTATTATTTTTTTTAACTCTGTTTTATTCAGCAATCAGAAATACATAAGAATTCCTATAAGCTATAAGCTAAAATTTTTGACTGAGTTCTCTGCATTATATCTATATTTGATTTGTAAGCACATTCCCAGAGCTCAATTCCGTAGGTCCAGATTAGTTTAATGATTTTTTATATAGCAAAAACTTATTATAGAAGAATTCCTTGATACATTTTCAACTAAATTATCTAATAAAATACCTTGGACCATGTGAAAAATTATCTGATATCATCGTGGCCAGTAATAATGTTGCTATTAAAATCTAATAATCACATGTATGTAAATTTCATTCGATTCATTTATATTTTTCTCCCAATGATCTACGAATACACATCCACGTTAAATATGCATTCGTTTCATTATTTGAACGTGCTGAATGCAAGATCAGTCGATTTTTCCACAGTTGGAAAAGCTCTTCAATCAAACTCGTCTGAATTATATATGTATACATCGTTGTATGAACTGTGTAAAAGTTATAAGCAGTTTTCTAGAAAGCTGGATTGAAATGTTATCGATCTAATGCGCGATAGCGATTGAGAACGTTCTGGAAGATGAATAATAATAATAAGAAATATATTTATAACATGTAAATTATTTAAAATAATAAAAAATGACCTATTGAAAATGTCATTGTGTGTGTTGTGCAATTTGTTTGATAAAAATTTGTGGTCATTGAAGGTCATACATTTATAATATTAATTTATTTTTGATCATTTTATAAAGAATGGTGATGTCCAAAACAATTTCCAAAATGCATAGCTGGTTGATTTTGACATGTTTTACAATAAAATGTTGTTCGCCGCCTACTTCCTGGTGCTTTTCTGTCAGAACAGACAATACAATTACTTTTTCTTTCTCTCGCATTTAGAATATGCCACTGATTAATCAGTATATTTGTTCATTTTTGTGCTGCTATAATGGTTTGTTTTTTTCTATTACATTGTCTAATAATTCATTTGTAAAATATAAAGTAAAATAATCTAATGGATGTCGTAAATTGCTTGGTATTTGTAGTCGGGGTGTTTGTTGATGTATGTCAAACTCGGTTATTGAAGGAGAATCGGCACATTCGCTAATGTCTTTCCGCTCTTCATTTAATTTGTTCAACTTCTTTTCCTTCTGTTGGTTGGATAATATCATCATCACATTCATCACTATCTTAAGTGCGAATAGTAATTTCGTAAAATTTGTTTGTATGATTGTCTATTTGAAACTCATCTTCACTACTGCTTAATTCATAAAATTTATCAGTCGTTTTGCCATATTTAAAAGCGCTCGGTCGTTTTAAATATTAAAAAAAAACTATAAAGCAAAGAAAAAGGTTAAAAATACTACTAAAATAACTTAAAATTATTTTCAAAATACAATACTGTTTATCACTGCTATATGTAATTTATTCAACTTTTCGAAGCAAACTGAGTCATTGCCTGTGCCTCACAGAGAATGTTTGTGCACTGAGGTGGACAGCCGTCCCCAAAGTGTTAATTAATTATAAGTATCAGCTTCAAAATCAAAGTCGATAAAAATTCAAAAATGCCAAAATCAAATTAAAAGTATGTATCTAATCGGTTAATACATAAAGACGCCGACATAAGAGAAATCATACATCGGAAAGTTTCAGCAATTCCGTTAAAGCACAACGCCAAGCACCCATATCTTACTGAATTTTTTTAAAATGCTATAATATATAATAAAATCTAGTCTTAAATTTTAATACTTTTAATTACCTATCTATAAAATCTAAATATCACCTTAATATCGTTCACGCGGCATAAGTGTAAAATCTATAAGGCATGTCAGTACGACAGATAGAAAGTTTAAACGGTCAAACACGTGTAGGTAACACGCCCACACGCGCTTTTCCCACACACCGAAAGGAATCGGATACACGTATACTGGCAGTCTCCCAATTATTAATAGTAGTCCTTACAGAGAATGCGCGTAGTGACATGCTACGTTTCGCTACGGCGCCCGCATGCGTAGCGCGTAACAGAGAACAGCGAACCGATAATCGCAGGGTCGACGGGGAATAAAAAAGAGCCTTAACAATGGCAATGAAATCATAATGTAACTAATATTTCAGTAGTCGATAATTGTAATTTATCGAATTGTGGTAATATAATGAATCACATTGCAAAGCATTTTTTTAATAAACTTAGTTTTTAATATTATTTTCTGAACTAAAATAACACTAGATACAAAATTATTACACCTGTACCTATGCTTTTATTCCAATTTCTAAATTTTCTAGGAACTTCAGTTTTAACTCATTATACGTGAAATCGAAACTTAATGTCAAGTAATTCATCAAAAGTCGATTTTAATCTTTGATTTATTTAAAAACAAAATATAAAATGTATTCTGGTATAGAGAAATGAATTTTATGCAATTTTTGAAAGGCCGTAAAAGAGGCAAACAATATTTTTACTATATTTTTTACAAGTTATTAATTATAATTTGAGAATTTAGAAAAAAATTAAAAATACTCATAAAGTTTTTAATTTTAAGAATTGATAAAATCGGAGTCAGATAAAATTGACACCTGACTATGATTTCAACCCTCCAAATAAAAAAAATATATACATATACTAGCAAACCGGGCGAACTCCGTTTCACTACCAGATGGTTTCATTTTATGTAACATTTCGTCTAGTGATTAAAAGATGAAGAAAAAAATTTCCTGCTGTTGAAATTGAATAAAAATTTGCACAATGCACGTGATTTGATTTGATGGTTTCCAATTGAAATGTTAGGAAACGAATAACTTATTTATTTACTTTTTTGCACAATTTCACAGTGAACACAATGCCGGTTTATCACATGAAATTAACTGAGCAGGCAACAATGAGTAGCTATCAAACAAATAAGTAGCAGTCAAACAAAAAATATTAGTTTGTAGTACATGCTAAGTATCGGAGATGATGCTGTAGGTGAAAAAAGAAATAGTGTTTTCCGCTTTTCTTTTGAAATCTTTCTTCAATTTTCTTTGCTATAAACCTCACGGAGCCCGAGACCTTTCCAACGAATGCAAAATCGTCTAAATCGGTTCGTGCGTTCTAGAGTTATATCGTCAGGAAGGAAAACCCGACTTATTTTTATTTAATAGATTACACAGATCAACAAAGAAAATGGTGCAAACGATTTTAATGCTGTTTTTAAGTATATTTGGGGCGCTGATTTCAAAAATGACATTGTTTTTTTCTATGAGCTTTAGTTTTCAAGATACGATATATATGATATATTTCACGATATTAGGTGCGCAACTAAGTTCTCGCTGTTTTTTCGATGAAAATGTAACTTTATTATAAAAAAATGCATCAATTGAGTTCGATACAGTTCTCCAGTGATGGTTTCACTCGGTTTTAACAGCTCATAACAAATAACACCGACCTGGTCCCACCATATGTAGAGCATAACCTTCGCAGTGAATATTCGACCAAACCGAGATTTTCTCGTCTTTGGATTGCTGTAATGTATTCATTTTTTATCACCTGTCACGATGTGATGAAGAACCTCTTCTTTTCTCGCCGCTGGAGCAGTTGTTTACAGGCGAAAAAACGACGTTCGACGTCTCTTGGCTTCAACTCACAAGAAACCGAAGTTTCTTGCTTCTAAATCATCCCCAACGCATGCTATAGCTTGGAAATGGTTTGATGGGTAACTCCTAATTCTAAAGCAAAATCTTCTTGAGTTTGGCACGAATCCTCTTCGAACAAGGCCTTCAATTTAGCGTTTTTGAAGGTTTTGGCGTGAAAGAATCACGAGGGTGGTCGTCAACATCAAAATCACCATTTTTGAAGCGACAAAACCCTTCACGACATGTTGTTTCGCTCAGAGCAACATTTCCGTAGGTCTCGATGCACTTGAGTTCTCGTTTTTTTTTTGAATGGAAGACGAAAATCAACACTCCTCGCAAATAACGATTGTT